AAAAGCAAAAATAAATGGGATTAGATTAAACTAAAAAGCACCTGCACAGCAAAGGAAACAACAGAGGGGAGACACAACCCATAGGCTGGGAGAAAATATTTGTAAACTCTGTATGTGATAAGGAGCTAGTTTCAAAAATATATTTAAAAATTCAGATACCAGCAAAGGACCTGAATAGACATTCTCAAAAGAAAACATACAAATGGCCAAGAGACACATGAAAAAATGCTCAATATCACGAATCACCAGGGAAATGCAAATTAAAACTACAAGAGCACTTCATACCTGTTAGAATGGATATTATTAAAAAGATGATCCATTATAATATCCATTACAATATCCCTTCTAACAGGTATGAAGTGATATCACACTTGGTGTTTTGCTGGGGATGTAGAGAAAAGGAAGCCTTTGTAATTATGTATGTAAATTAATACAGCCATTGTTTTAAAAAGTGTGGATATTCCTCAAGAAACAAAAAATAGAATTACCATATGATCCAGCAATCCCACTTCTGGGTACATTTCCAACAGAAATGAAATCAACATGTCAAAGAGATGTCTGCACCCCCATGTTCCTGGCATCATTATTTCCCATAAGATACAGAAGCAACCGAAGTGTCCAACCACAGATGAGTGGATAAAGAAAGGCTGGTGTATATCTACAATGAAACACTATTCAGCCTTTAAAAAAGAAGGACACCCTGTCATTTGTGACAACATGGGTAAACCTGGAACACATTATGCTAAGTGAAGTAAGCCGGGGCAGAAAAATAAATATCACAGGGCTTCCCTTCTATGTGTAATCTAAAAATGTTAAATTCATTGAAGTAGAGAGTAGAATGCTGGTTACCAGAGGCTGAGGAAGGGGGTGGGGGTGACAAATGAAGAAATGCTAGTCAAAGGGTACAAAGTTTCAGCTAGGTGGAAGAACTAAGTTCTAGGAAGCCGTGGTGGGGAGATGCTGTGGGAGGGGCTGGGGGAAGCGGCTGTGCTCTTGGTTGGCCAAGTGGAAGCCCATATACCTTGGTCTGTGGGCCTGGCCGAGGCGATGCAGCTCTCCCGGGAGCAGAGAATCACCCTGGCAGGAACGTGGAATCCTGTCCGAGTTCTTCCCATTTGGTATCAACAGCATTTTATTTCAGCACAGCACATACTCATCTGAAGCCTTCACTGGAGTACAGAGTACAGACTCACCTTGCTTGTAACTACTGAGCCTATGCTCATACAGTACCTAAACAATCTGCTCGAACAACCAAAGGATTGGCTATACAAATGTTCAGTTCATAAACGGGCCACAGTCCTTGCAAATATTGAAAGTCGTGATGTCCTTGAAGGAAGGCACTTTGATACTGAGTGTGACAAGACTGCAAAAGATGACGGTGCACCCAAAGAACAGACAGCACACCCAGAGAAAGGAGGACAGGTAACCCAGGGAAAACATGACAGTGAACCCAGAGAAAAGACGACAGTGCACCCAGAAAAAGGAGGACAGTGAACCCAGAGAAAAGCCTCAGAAAGCTATCCAGGACAAAATTCATCCAGTGATCAGATGAAGCACAGTTAGTGACATTTCTGCAACTGTTGAATTTTCTTGTTCATTTGATCTGTGATTTATGCAAAGATCTGGTTGTACCTGGAAGATGGGAAGAGTGGGGACCACAGTTCATGACCAGTGCGAGGAAGTTTGCCTTCGTTCATTTACTGCTACATCCACACAGCTCACAGCATGGTGGCCCACAAAATCTTGTCAATGACTACGGATGACATGAGGAAGATAATGTAATTTTCAAATGTGGTTTTCCTGAAACCAAGTCAACTATAGCTGATACGTTTTATTTCACTGCTTAATGTTTACATTAGAAAAACTAGTATTATTATTTACTGAACTATGTGTAATTGTTCCATGTTTTTTGATACCTGTTTGACTTACCATGGGGTTGACATAATGAATTTTTGCACCTTGTTCAAAAGGAACCAGGAGGTTTTTTCAGCACCGTAATGTAAATTCCATTGCAGATGGTAACTGTAGATGGAAAAACTTTTGCTATACAATGAAATGCTTCCCTAAATCAGACATTTTGGTCCAGTAGCTTGACTCAGTATAGATACAGAGATATTTAAGTATAAAATACAATGAAAGCAGTCTAAATATTTAGAATCTTGGTTTAGATCCTGAAAGTAACTAATAATCCATAAGCAATGCAGTATTGCTCTACTGTGTCCTTTTCAAATTTATTTCATCATCTAGCTTTCCATATTGAATAAATTTACAGATTTAATTTATATAACTTGAATCTGTGAAGGAACGGATATTTCTATGTTTAATGTCCTGTGATGCAGAACTCTTGAAAAAATTTTACGTTTTATATAATCAAACTTTAAGCAAAAAATGAAGAAGTAAAGTTAAACATGTTATTATTATTATTTTTTTTTTTTTTGAGGCAGAGTCTCGCTCTATTGCCAGGCTGGAGTGCAGTGGCACCATCTCGGCTCACTGCAACTTCCATCTCATGGGTTCAAGCCATTCTCCTGCCTCAGCCTCCTGAGTAGCTGGTACTACAGGCACATGCCACCACGCCCAGCTAATTTTTCCATTTTTAGTAGAGACGGGGTTTCACTATGTTGGCCAGGATGGTCTTGAACTCCTGACCTCATGATCTGCCCGCCTTGGCCTCCCAAAGTGCTGGAATGAAAGAAGTTCTAGTGATATATTGCATAGCATGGTGATGACAGTCAATAATAATGAGTATATATTTCAAAATTGCTAAAATAATAGATTTTCAATGTTTTCTTCACACACACAAAAAATGATGCCTGTAAAGTAATGGATAAGTTATTTATCTTGATTCAGTCATTCCACAATGCAAACTTACATCAAAACTCCACATTGTACCTAATAAATATATACAATTACTGTTGGTTGAAATTATTTTGAAAGAGGCAAGATTAAGCTGTTGCAAATAGGGATGCAGAGTGGACGGCACAACTGCGAACAGCAAGGGTCACTGTCAGGGTCAAGAGAGCGACGTCTAACCATGGTTGGGTGTACAGGGAGACTGCGGGTACAGCTGACAAAGCCTATGATCTCAGCCAGGCTTGGGGGTGTGCACCTGTGATCCCAGCTACTCGAGAGGCTGATGCAGGAGGATTGCTTGAACCTGGGAGGCAGAGGTTGCAGTGAGCTGAGATCGCATCACCCTGGGCGATAGAGTGACAGTCTGTCTTAAAAAAAAAAAAAAAAAAGGCTATGACTTAATGACTTGACATGCATGGAGTTCAGAGAAAAGGCAAGAGACAAAACATGGTCCAGGGAATTTAGACATGAGACTGGAATGAACACTTTGTTCATTGCCTGTTTTCATGAATTTGTACATTTATACGCTCTCAACCCTGTTCCAGGAAAGATTTAAAGGACATAAGTAAGAATGCAAGCCCGTCAAGGCTATTCTGATTTTAAATGTCAGCTCAGCTCCTGCTTTATGGGGTTTGGCAAATCGAGTTAAGGGCCTTTTCCTCAAATGCTCAAACATTCCAATAAGACTAAATCAAGCAACTGGAATTACTTGAAACCCAGAGACCAGATTCCATTCTCCCTCTGTTTTTTTGAAATCGTCACTTCTTTATCACCAGCTGGGTTTTGATGACTCTTCAGGTGTAAAGGTCAACCTCATAGAAATGGGAAAACCTGTGTTGTTAGGAAGGATGGTTTTAAGTGAGCATTTGAAGTTTTAGGGCAAGAATAGCCTCGGGCCATCTGTCAGGAAAAGCTGCCACATCTGGGCAGTGTCTCTCTTGCGGTGAAACGTGCGCAGATTAAACTGAAGTAATAACGAGCTCACGTAGAGTCTGGGACGAGACAGGAAATTTATAGGCAAGGCATGTGCCTTCGGTGCCCAGGCTATGGAGGAAAGAACACAGATGGTCTTCCTGAGGCGGGGCAGACAAAACTGCTGAAAGTGAAGGAGAATTAGGGCGATACACGCTGGTCATTCAAAAAGCCTCAGATTTCCCCTCCTAGGAAGATGGAACAGGCCTGCGTTTTCCTCCTTCCCGCAGGTGCAACCGGAAACCTCGGGCAGGGCCCGTCAAACAAACGCAGGAAGACCAGGGGCGGAGAGAGGAAGCCCCGGGGATCTGGGGGACCCTGAGAACGACAAGATGGGGGCGTTCCTGGGTTTCTTTTTGAAGCTCTTCCACCCCATGGGTGTTCACGAGGCGCGAGAGGCTGGCCCGCTGCTGTGCCCAGCAGAGCACTGGGAAGCGGCTCAGGTATTTCAAGGACCCTGGGAAATGGGTGATCTCAAGATGTGAAAAATCTTCAGGGAGACTGGAAGTGTTTTGAAGTTGAAGGTTATGGTTCTTTCTCATTTTGTTTCAAAACAGGACCCCCATTTCCCTTACTGTAGGATTCGAGACAAAGAGGAGAAGGGGTGTCAGGGTCAGAGCCGCCTAGAGAGCGGCGAAGCCAAAGGGCAGGCCTCTCGCGAGATGCTCTTCAAGAGTGACTTCTTGAAGTGGGCTGCGGAAGGCAACAGAAGGAACTCGGCATCCACTGGCCACGTTCCCCTCCCCGGAGCGGAGCGGAGGACACAGCCCGGTTTCTTCAGGCGGTGGCTCCAGCCAGCTCCGCCCCACAGGGAGGGAGCGCGCAGCTTACCCGCAGGCGGCGCTGACAGACTCCGCCTTCCGGAGCGCAGGCGTGTGGGGGCGCCGCCCTCGTCGCCGTCGGGAACCCAGCAGGCCCGCAGCCGTCTGCCTGGATTCTCCCGCCTCTGCAAGCCTCGCCTTCAGGACTCCGCCTCTCGCCGTCCTCTCTTTTCTGTCAGGAGACTCGGGGCCGTCTGTCTGGACGGCGTGTGCACATTTCTCACCACGATTCCTCTGCACACCAGGTCCGGCACGGCGCTGGCTGGGGTCGCCACAGCTGGTGTGCGGGCAGCCAAGGGGCCTCAGGGGACCGCTCAGCTCCTGAGGCACAGCCCACCTGGTCAGGCGAAGAATGAACTTCCGCGGTTTCCAGTGACGGTTGTGGCACGGCACATGCTGAAAAGGTAAATCCTGACCGCGTTACACTCCAGAGATGGCGCTGTGAGCAGCATTGCCGCCAAATGACCTGTTTACCCAACAGCGCCCCCTGTAGCCGTGCTCAAACGGGCTTTTCCATGATGTTCCTACATTTGTTTACAGCGCTCTGTGAGGGCTGCACGCGCATGAGCCAACCTCGTTTTATTGCGCCTTACTCTATTGCCTCGCAGATACTGCACTTGTTTTTACAAATTGAAAGTTTGTGGGAGCTCCATTGGGGCACATCAATGGGTCCCATTTTCAAACAGCTTGTGCTCACTTCCTTATCTCTAGTCACATTTTGGTAATTCTTGTAATAGTTGAATTTTTTCATTACCAATTATGTCTGTCATGAGTGATCTACCTAGTGATCTTCGATTTTACTTTGTAATTGTTTTGTAACCAACAACCACACCCAGTTAAGGCGACCATAATAAATGTCACCTGTGTTCCACGTGCTCCACTGACCAGCTGCCCCCATCTCTCTCCCTCCCCTCAGGCCTCCCTATTCCCTGAGACACAATTGTGGAATTACACCATTAATAACCTACAACAGCCTCTAAGTGTTCAAGTAAAAGGAAGAGACACACATCCCTCATTTTAAGTCGAAAGCTAGAGATGATTAAGCTTAGTGCGGAAGGCCTGTTCAAAGTTGAGATGGGCTGAAAGCAAGGCCTTTTGCACCCAGGAGTTAGCCCAGTTGTGAATGCAAGAAAAAAACCTCTTAAAGAGAAGTGAAAGTGCTGCTTTAGTGAACATATGAATGACAAAGAAAGTGAAACAGCTTATTGCTGATTCAAAAAAGGCTGAGAGGAGTGAAAGCTATGGGGAGAAAGTTTGAAAGTGGCAGAGTTGGTTCATGAGTTTTAAGAAATAAACATGTCCATAACTTAAAAAGTGCAGGATGAAGTAACAAGTGCTGATGGGAAGCTGCAGCAAGTTATCCAGAGACCTAGCTAAGGTAAGTGATGGAGGTGGCTACACCAAACCACAGATCGTCAGTGTAGATGAAACAGCCTTTTGTTGGAAGAAGATGCCATCTAGGACTTTCATAGCTAGGAAAGGAGAAGTAAATGCCTGTCTTCAAAGCTTCAAAGGACAGGATGTCTTTTGTTAATAGCTAATGCATCTGGTGACTTAAAATTGCAGCCAATCTCACTTACCATTCCAAATCCTAGGAGCCCATAAGAATTATGCTTAATTGGGAGGCCGAGGGTAGGTGGATCTCCAGAAGTCAGGAGTTTGAGACCAGCCTGACCAATATGGAGAAACCCTGTCTCTACTAAAAATACAAAAAAATTAGTCAGGCATGATGGGTGGGTGCCTGTAATCTCAGCTACTTGGGAGGCTGAGGCAGGAGAATCACTTGAACCCAGGAGGTGGAGGTTGCGATGAGCCAAGATCATGCCATTGCACTCCAGCCTGGGCAACAAGAGTGGAACTCTGTCTCAAAAAAAAAAAAAAAAAAAAAAAAAAAAAAAAAAAAAAGAATTATGCTAAATCTACTCTGTCTTTGCTCTATAAGTAGAACAACAAAGCCAGGATAGCAACACATCTGTTTACAGAGTGGTTTACTGAATATTGGCCCACCCAGGCCCATTATTGAGACCTACTGCTCAGAAAAAAAAAAAGACTATTTTCAAAAATATTACTGTTCATTAGCAGAATACACCCAAGGAGCTCTGATGGAGATGTGCAAGGAGGTAATGTTGCTTTCATGCCTGCTAACACCACATCCATTCTGCAGCCCATGGATCAAGGAGAAATTTCAACTTTCAAGTCTTGTTACTTAAATACATCTAAGTAAAGCTATAACTGCCATAGATAGTGATTCCTCTGATGGATCTGGCAAGTTAATTATAAACCATCTAGAAAGGATTTACCATTCTAGATGCCATTAAAAACATTCATGATTCATAGGAGGAGAAACAATATCAACATTAACAGGAGTTTAGAAGAAGTTGATTTCATTCCTCATGGATGATTTTGAGGGAGTCAAGCCTTCAGTGCAGGAAGTAACTGCAGATGAGGTGGGAATAACAAGAGGACTAGAATTAGAAGTGGGGTCTAAAAATGTGGCTGAATTGCTGCAATCTCAGGATAAAATTTGAACAGATTAGGAGTGGCTTCTTATGGCTGAGCAAAGAAAGTGGTTTCTTGAGACAGAATTGACTCCTGATGAAGATGCTGTGAACATTATTGATAGGACAACAAAGGATTTAGAATATATACACTTAGTTGATGAGGCAGTGGGTAGGGTTTGAGGGATTGGCTCAATTTTGAAAGAAGTTATACTGTAGTCAAATGCTATCAAACAGCATCACATGCCTACAGAGAAACCTTTCATGAGAGGAAGATTCAATCAATGCAGTCAACTTCATTGTGATCTTATTTCAGATATTGCCACAGTCACCCCAACCTTCAGCAACCTCCACCCTGATCAGTCAGCAGCCATCAACATCCAGGCAAAGCCCTCCACCAACAAAACAATTGCCAACTCACTGAGGGCTTAGATGATCATTAGCATTTTTAAAACAATACCCAGTATTTAAAATTGAGATATGTTCATGTTTTAGACATAATGCTATTGCATCTTAATAGACTACAGTATAACATAAACCAAACTTTTATAGGCACTTTGGGAAAGCGAAATATTTGTGTGATTTGTTCTGTTGCAATATGAGCTTTATTGTGGTGGCCTGGAACCAAATCCACAGTATCCCCAAGGTCTGCCTATAAGGTGAGGCAGCAGCCCCAGAAACTAATGCAGCCTGCCGGGTGCTCTGTGTTCCCAGCAAGCATGGACACTTCCCTAGATATCAGGGGAAGTGATACAAAGACAGAAAGTTGTGGTCATTTGAGAATCAACTCATAATAAAAAATAATGAAATATGGTTAATTGAAGTAAGTTGATTACAAATTGAAAATGATAGAGAAGAAAGAAGTTTTATACAAAGATGGTTGTGATACAAAAGAATTATAATGACATTTAATTTTATTGCCTTGAATAAATGAGGAATGTGGTTTTATTCCTTCCATTGTCTGCTTCTAAAGTATAGATATAAACTTTGTCTATCTGCAGTTGCAGATAAGAAACCTGAGAAGCCACAAGAAAGCCAAGTAGCCTAGGAAAAAGTGAGCATTGAGCCACGAGCAAAAAATAACAGTCGATCCTGTTGGTGCCACCTGACAGCAGAGACGGCTGAGGACCCGGCGTGAGTCCAGAGGCTGCCCGGCAGCCACCCTGCCCCAACTTTCCAAGGATGAGTCTTCTCTGGGAAGCCACTGCTCATTTGGAAGGGGAAGAATGACAGCGTTTCAGCACTAACTGAGCCTCTGCTGACCTCTCCAAACGGCAGGACCACGCGTGGCCAGACACCAGGCAGGAGTCAAATATACAAGGCGGGACCTTGAGCAGGGCCAACATCTCCATCAGGCACATGAGGGCCGATACTTTAGGAGGCCCATGAAAATGTTTTAATTTCTCTTAAAAATCAGAAGGAAACAAATGAACTCTTAGGTGTAAGAAAATGTTTTAATATACACGATTGATATATCCACCTTCATACAAATGCAGTAACAAAACTTACATGTGTTTAAATTTTTAATGGGAAAAAGCTCCCACAAAAAAGCAATGACAGTCATGATGTAGCCTGATGCCAGGTTGCAAAAAACTGAAACTTCTGTGAACGGCGTTCATTAGAAACACAAGAATGCTAATGTAGCATACCAGGTTTAACCATAAAGGGTTAGTATGATGTCCAGTGCCTTGAGTTTAAAATACCGGAGGAGGAGTAACCGAAGTGAGTAAACACAGTTCCAGCTGTCCTCACACCCATAGCAAGACGAACCACAGGATTTCTGTTTTTAAAGCAGGGAAACAAGTAAAATACAATATAGTAATTATAGTAATAATTGTAGGAAAATGTAAAAAATATAGAATAATGAGAAAATGGTTAATACTGTAGAGTAGGTTCAAATTGGAGGTCTGTAAGAAGTCGGTGATAATCTGAATTGTTTCGTTCTGTCTCTTGTATAAAGTATTTGTTCAAAAATATCAACCATTCTAAAGCTATAATTGCAGTATTAAGAAAACTTAGTTAGAATCAATCTTTAAGTGCTCAAGAAAAGGTAGTTTCAAAGGTGAATTTGATAAACTGAGCATCAGACAGAGTCGTCAGTTTTGGGAGTCAGCCTCTATGTTGAAATCCCTTTCACTTTAGCACCAATAATCAGAGTTCACGAGGCCACTCTCCACATTGTGCCTGCCGTTTGCCCTCCAGGCCTCGAGGCTCCCTCTCCCTCTAGCTGCTGGGAGGCGAAGGTGAAGGTGACTGGCAGGCTCCACATCCTCAGCCATGTTTATCTGGAGGTGGGGACAGGCAGGTCTGCAGGTCATTGGGATACAGTGTGAGGAGGACATGAGGAGTGCAGGGTTCAGTGAGCACTTGGGGGCCTTAGCCTGGGGTGGGGAGGGTGAGCCAAGGAATGTTTGCGGAAGGAACGGTGAGTCGGAGGAAGTCGGGTTAGCCTAAAGGAGGCCTTCTGCATGATGGGCTGTGAGACAGGAGAGGCGGGAGAGCTGCACCTGATGCGGCGATGAAACTTGGGGCCTGTGCTCTGGAAGGGACCTGTGCTCCTTAGAAAACATGAGCCCTGCAGGACTCCACATGCAGAAGAGGAGGAGCTCCATCCAAGACTCCCTTCGGAGCAGCACCTGGCTCTGGGTGGGAATGGACGGGAGCGCTCTGTCCTGCTCCCTTCTCATCATCCCAGCATCCCTGAGCCGTGCAGAGGATGGCGTCACTTAGGAAGGAAGTGGGGACAGCTGAAGATTTTCCAAGGTGGCAGTAGACAGTGGCCCAGATGGGTGTGACTCACCCCATCTCCCAGCCCTTTATACTCTGTCATTGTTTTGTGATGGTCTTAATGCTACCTTTTTTGAAAGACAAGTATTAAATGTGCTTGTTTACAATTTATGCATAAATGTACCACCACAAATAGGTTAATAGAGACCCCCTCCTCAAAAAAATTAATATAATAAATATAATCGGATTGTACATCTAATAAAAGCCTTCGGGAGATTGTTAAGAATTTAAAAGTAAATTCTGACTTTTGCAAATCGTATGAAATGTTGTTTTAATAAGCTTGTACTGATTTCAATATTATTGCAGAATGTATATTCCATGAAGGGCTTCCGCACATGAATGTATTAATTTCATGTGCACACTGAATTAATCTTATTTGGATGACAGATTTTGGACCCGTCACTATTGGAGAGTGTACTGCAGATGATATTTGTGAAAACTTCCAGTCAGGCAGGTGATCTGATGCCTGCGCATGGCTACAATAAGAGTGCGTGTTTGTTTCTTCCCGATCTCCCACAGATAAGGAGAAGTGTTTTTTTCCCATTACAGCCGTGTATCGTTTTGTTTGCTTCAGTGACAATTTTTAGTATAAGCTGATTTAAAACAATCAAAGCAACAGGCAAGTCCATTCTTTCAGCCAAACCCAAAATAGCTTTTTAAGAATGGATTTGTTTTGATTATGCCTGACAAAGCGGCCTCACATTGCTGTAGCATTCATCCCCACAGAAAACAAAGGCCTCCATCACACCAATCTTAGTAGACTTCCTTTTTTTCCTTCAAAGCCAGATAGCACATGGTTTCTTAGAGTTACTTTTGTACGTACCAAATATTGAGGACTACGATGATGCGTGCACAGTATTAAGGTTAAATAATCCTATGGCACTAAAATATGGTATTGTAGTTCATAAAGCTGTAATTACATACTTGAAAAAATTAAATAACTATGCATCTTCTGATAAGATTTTCAAGAATTTATCTCTTTCCAAATTCATGTTTGGGGCATCCACATTTCAGTATAAAAATTAGATGAATGCCAGTCTGCTTTTGTATTTCTAGGTGGCTTGCAAAACAACAAAAGAAGTAAGTAACTGGTTATCATTTTTATATCGGGATTTTAAAAATCTCAAGTTTCAGGAGGCAACATGCTCCCCAGGCCGCGACAGGCCATGATAACTGCACTATTGGAGCCCTGACCTGACTTGGACGCCACTTGAGTATCCTTGCTTAGTGAGCTAGAATTGTCTCCCTCTTGTCCCAGTGAGGACAGGGGTGTCGGTGAGCAGAGGTGAACTGTCCAGGCTGAGCTTCTGTAATGCTGGAGATATGAGCCGTGCCTGGGAATTCAGGCCATAAAGGGGAAGGGCTCAGCACTTTGTGAATCAGCTGGTCCAAGGGCACTTGCTCTGCAGAGACCTCCTGGGTCCATCATAAGGCAGAAATGGCCCCTGTGATGATCAAAGGAGGTGCAGTGTTGCTGGGGAGCACTGGAAATCTTTCTTTTGTGAGCCTCCTGTTATCTGATGGGTGCTGCTCTAACCGTGTTTCCTAAATAGAGAAGAGAATGTCCTTTCCTTTGCAATTTCTAGATAACTTGGGTAGTCCTAAAGGTTTAGTGGTTCTCAAGATCATTTTGGGAGCAGCTAATATATTATTAGTTTTTGTCTGTTTTAGCAAAAAACTGCAATTGGCGTTTCCCATGTGATGTTGCGTGTTGAGGGCTCATCTGTTTCTCATCCAGGATGATGTTTCCAGCTTCATCTTTGATCTTAACCACCTCCGGAGCGTACTTAGTTTCCTGACAGCCGCTGCAATACACAGTCTTGGCCGGTGCCATCTGAGTACTCCCTTCTCTTGAACTGGGCGTGTATTGGATTTCTTTCTGCCCGTTGCTGAGCTGTGGTTTTGTCGCCATTCCTGAGAAGAGAGAAACACGTGGAAGGGGCAGTGTGCACCAAGGGCCAATGCTGCTAGTGTGGAGGCCAGTGGGGAGTGGGGAGCCTGGGAATAATGTCACCTGGGTCTGGAGGCCCTCCTTCCAAAGCTCATTAGATGAGGTGCAGGAAGGCCACGGGCAGGGGCAGGAAAGGTGCACTGTGGGCTCAGGGCATCAGGAGAAACTTGGTGTGGAGTGAGAGAGAGGGCAAGTGTAAGGACCAGGAGGCAGGGCGGGGGAGGTTAGCCGCGTCTGCTCACCTGCAGGCTGAAGCCTGTGCTGACAACTAGCTCCTGATAATTTGAGAGGATGGTAGGGTTAACACAGGGAGTGACAGGGACACACATAGAATCATTTCAGAAAAGTGGTCCGGGAGGTGACAGGGAAGATTCTGACTGCTGTGAGGAAGCTGGGGGAGTCTATTGTAATTGCCCAGGAGAGAAATGGTGAGAGCAGGGAGCCACAGAACTCAGAGAAAGAGGGCGGAGGCGGGAGCAGCGGAGACACAGCCCACAGCGCTCACTTGAGCGTCACTTGGATATCAGGAAAGAAAAGGAAAGGTCTAAACAACATCCCACACTCTCCTTGGGCAACTGGGTGGATCTTTACTTTCTGCACAAACTAGCGTTGAAATAGCAGCTCTGATGAGCTCTTCCTTGAGTATGCCTTAAACATTTGCTTGCACATGTTCTGCAGCGGAAAACTCGGCTTCTAGACCACTGGTCTGAGAGTGAGCACTGAAGACTGAAGTGAGATTTTACAGTTATAATTCAAACAACAGCTAATGTTGGTAAATAAATATGTAAAGATCCATTTGGAAACACAGTCTCTATAAAGGGATTCAAATCAAGGTCATAAAACAAAAAACTTCAGTCAATGACATTATTTTCCTATTTTTTATACAAACACTTAAATGTTTTAAAAATCTAAATTAATATAAGAGGTAATAAATACACAAACAAACTGGGGATATTTAGGTTAGCATTGTCTGACATTACTGACCTTTCCCTCTTACGATTGTCCCATCAGGAAATAAGGTCTCTTCTGTCCATCCTTGAGATGTTTCACTGTCCCATTCGGGGAAACACAATTTCTTTGGAGCCATCAGGGTAGAATTTTTCTGCAGAATGCAGTTTTTAAGTGTATGTTACATTGAATCTGTTTAGAAACATGTTCTATCCAAATAATCTATAAAATGTTCATGAGATTTGTAGAGTATTTTCTAATCATCTGGCTTTATAACTAGGGTTGCCAGGTATAATTGAATTTTAGATAAATGATGAATCATAAATAATTTATTTTTATTATTATTATTTTGAGACAGAGTCTCACTCTGTTGCCCAGGCTGGAGGG